AAAAAACAATTTGTATTTCAAAATTTATAAAAAATTTTTTTTAAATAAGATTAAAAAACATCATGCAGTAGTTGTTTTTAACTCTAATACAACTACGACCTTCCGCCATTCGACCTCGAAGCTTAACCCTTGTGCTCACGGGACAAATAAATAATAAATAAATTTGACAAAACAGGTGATTAATACAAATATAGTTGAGGGTTGGGAGTGAGACTTTGCATGGGATTGCAAATTGTGTAAACAAAAGTGCTTGATTGCGCTAAAATGGGGAGGCGGGGGACTTTGTACATAATCAAAGTTGCATGTGGTGTAATGTTGGTTGGCTGGAAGGCACGAGTACACTTGAGGTGGTGTTTACGAGTACAAACAGTGAGAGTAATTCATGTTCATTTGCGCCCAGAAACAGACGCTCGGTAAGCTCAAACACGCTATATGCCTACTCACCCACTTCTTGCTGCTCCACGTGCTGCTGCTGCTGTTGTTGCTGTTGATGTGGCGACAGCTGTTGATAATGATTGCCAGCGGCACTGGTGTTTGCCGTGCGATAAACCTCATCCGGAGTCCGGCGCGTACCATATATGGCCTCGACCGTAGAGCGTGCCGGTGTGACCGCAGCGGTGGAAGCGGCTGCGGCTGCGGCTGCCGCCTGCTTCTCAAACATCGAAGCTTTCTGCAACACCGAGGCGCGTGAACGTTCATCATTCTCTACAATAGTTGGAGATTCTGTATCGTTTGTTGTCGCATTTGAATCGGTGGCATTTGAATAAGTTTGATCGGACGTTTCGGTGGGTGTGATTTGGGACTCTATGCATGTAGCACTATTCATAGCATTGTTATTGGTAGTATTACTTGTTTGTTGTTGCTGTGTATTTATTTCTTGTGCGGGTACAATGGTGGGTTGTTGACCGGCTCCATCGGTTTCGGTGATCTTCAGCACATCACTATCGACTGAAGCAGTGCCACTTTGTGGCGGTGTCGGTGAATTGACATTGTATACGAAACCGCTCAACATGCCGCTCGTCACGCTGCCGCCACTTGGTGTACCAGCCGCCGTGGATGATGGCGAATTGGTCAGCAGTGGTGAATAGTGGTTTTGTGGTGTTGAGCTGCCACTCGACGGTGTCGGTGTTTGGCCAACAAGTGGTGTGGCTATCGTGCCGGATTCTATGGAGGGATGCGAATGCAGAGAGGGTGTATTCGAGGAGGCAGACGAAGAGGAAACGGAATGTGAACGTGTTTTGCTGCCGCTGCTGCTGTTGTTACCACTAACCATAACACCTGACTGGTGCTGCGATTGTTGTTGTTGTGACTGCTGATAGCCCGATGCAGTCGAATCGTTGGAAAACTGTGAGGATATAGAGTCGATCGAGTGTTGTTGTTGCAGGTTGGCGACTGGCCGTTGTTGCTGCTGTTGTTGTTGTTGGTTAGTAATTTTTGCTGCCGCCATGTTGGCCAACTCAGACATATTGACGTAAGTAGGTGGCGGCGATGTTGTCTGCAGATGTTGTTGCAGTTGCTGTTGCTGCTGCATGTGTTGTTGTTGTGCATGATGCGCTGATAGCTCTGCTTGCAGCATTTTGTTAATTCGTTTATTGTGTTTTGTTGTTGTTTTTTGTTTTTGTTTTTTATTCGGCACATTGAAAGCGAGCGAGCGAGCGTGCGTTGGGCGGCGGCCGCGTAGCGTGTGTGTATGTRTGTGTGTTTCATTATTTTTTGTACATAGGATATGTTAGGCATAAGAGAAGGGAATAGAGAGCACAAAAACAGGGTAAATTAGTGAACTCGGCTAACTCGGGTAATTAGCAAAGACATTGACGGTAGACAAATTAGAGAGACACAATGAGCACTCGAGATGCTCTCGAAGTGTGGTGGAAATGCGTTTACTCACCTTTTGTTATGTGCGCCGGTATGGGTGAGGGGCATTGACGCTGTAAGAGATTGTTGGTGCTGCGATTATTGTTGGCCGAAAGCGGTCGTTCTAACGAAGAGCAGCGCTGTAAAAAACGATTGAGTTAATTAGTGAGTGAAAATTAAATGAAATTAAGGGAATTTTTGAAGGATGAGTTGAGCATTCCAACAGATCGATAGTAAAATTTATATATGTAACAGTCAGTGGAGGACCAGATCAACGATTATCACGAGAATTGCTTTCGTAAAAACTGTTTATGTTGTGCTTGTAACGGGTACCTAATCCCCACTAGACCAAGAAACGTGTTGTTTCGACGGGGTCGGATGTCAGATGTGAATGGTTAGCAGGGCATACAAAGGGGTGGCTAGTGTAATGCAGGGACTCATTACATATGTTTGATATGTATATTCTGAATACACATCGCGGTCATATGAAGAGTGAAGGAGCACAGACTGTCGAAAGACACCTAAAATTTTAGGGTTATTGACAGTCGGTATCCTAACGCCATCGACTGCAATATTAGGGTCAAGTCCATACTTCTTCGTCCAGTTTGTGAATATGGTCGCTGTGGATTTAGGGGGGAAAGTGAGAGTCGATTCTATTGCCCGACGTCATTTATCGTGCAATCATCAGCGTACGAGGTGATAGAAACTCCCTCTGGTTGTTGCGGAAGTTTCGAGATGTAGAAGTTAAACATTAACTGAGAGAGGACACCACCCTGCGGAGGCCCTGTTTAATTCTTCTCAGTTTTGAGTCTTTACCTCGAAGTAGTACGGATGATTGACGTTCGGTCAGGTAGTCCTGGAGAGAGCGATCTCCTCAAGGCCATGAACTATCATGGGCGTTTATGACGCTAATTGCTGTGGTGGAACAATGCACTTTTCGGTTTGCTAGGTTCAAATTGTGTGTGAAGGTCGGGAGTGGCAAAGCCTCCAGCGTCTTCACTACTTGGTAAAGGTGAGTTAACGGACGATAGGACTTTTCTTTGTTCGCGGGTTTCCCAGGTCTCAAAATTGGGACCACTCTTCCGATTTACCGCATATCGGGCAATTGAAGAGTGGTCAGGGACAGATTGAGGATCTTCGTGAGGTAGCTTACTTCCTCGGTAAGGTAGCTTAATACCATCAGGGCCATTGGATTTGTACAATTTTGCCTTGTTGATGGCACTCTGAACCTCCTCCTCAGTGAAAATAAGTGGTGCGCAGTCTTTTGGCCTTCTGCTTTGTGCAGTGTAAATTGCCGGCTAAAGTAGCTCTACATAACTGATCATGAGACCCTCACAAATCGGAAAAGCGCAAATTTGTTAAGAGGCTATGTCAGTTTGGGCTATGTCTTCTGGTTCACCAAGGCGAGAATGCTGAGAGGTTTCCACCCCAATCTTGCAAAAGTTATTGAATAATGCCTTGTAAGAACTTTTACGATATAACAACAATAACTCGAAAACTCTTCCTTCTCAAATAAATTGAGCATTTTGACGGTGTAAAGCTACAACAACAACAATTATCGTAGACAAAATAAAATACAATATCGATCGGTTGAATGCTTCTTTAAAACTAAAATAATTTTTATATACATAACATGATCTTAAAAGGAATACTTTTTGGACAGACTTAAAAGGAGCTAGCGAATCTGCACATGCAAGCTACACGACATATTATATATATATATATATAACTATATGTTTTGACTGATTGGATTGAGAATGATGAAAATCGAATTGTGGTTTCGTTTAGGATGTTAAATTGGAAGAAAAGTGCAGCCTAAACTTACCACACGTGTTGGTTTCTGATGTCATAGTATAATAATACAATTAAATTAACAACAAGAATTCATTTACCGCAAATATAAACACAGAGAAAAAAGAAAATTCACATACATGTGTATACATAAATATGTAGTTATTAGTATATATGTATATAATATATATATGGTAACCTACCACTGGCAACGGTGGGCGACTCAATGCACCGGCTGGCGACTTTTGTGTAGATGGTGTATTAGCGCCGGACCCAGCACCGCCATTGGTGCCGTTTGGCGTACCCGGTATGCTGCCGCTGCCGCTGCCGCCGCTACCCTCCAGTATAGTCTCCGGATTCTGGAACGTGTAAACGGTTAGTGGTGGCCGCTGATGTCCCTTTTCGTAGGCAGTTGAGATTGTGTGTGGACGATCGGAGGCAGGTGGCAACACTGGCACGGCATCTTGGGAATGTGGTGGCCAAGTGGAAACAGCATGTGACTGACTAGTGGCAGTAGTAGCCTTACAAGGGAAAGTTACGTTAGTGTAAACAAAGGAAAACAATTTTCATACAAAATTTATAGCCTACAAGAATAAATGTACGGTTGCACCGAAACTATAATAGCCCTTACAAATATAAAATATCTCATACAAGGTCTGTTTGTATGGCAGCTATATGCTGGGGTGGTTCGATCTAAATCGTTTCTTTAGAGATTGTACCGTTGACTTGGAATGTAATACTTGTCAAATTTCGGGAAGATATCTTGTCAAATAAAAAAGTTGTCTATACAAGGATTGGATTTTAATCGATCTGTTTGTATGGCAGATATATGTTGTGGTGGTTCGATCTAAATCGTTTCTTCAGAGATTCTACCGTTGACTTGGAAAATAATACTTGTCAAATTTCGTGAAGATATATAAAATAATATTTCGGGAAGATATCTTGTCAAATAAAAAAGTTTTCCATATAAGGACTGATATTTTTGTATACCTTTATACATATATGTATGACAGATTAAGTGTTTCGATATCGGCGGTTCTGAACTAGTCGTTCGCGTATATACGGGCAGAAGGACAGTCGGACGAATGGACATGACTAAATCGACTCAGCTCGTCATGCTAATCATTTATAAATATATTTCATCATTTTCTACTGGGTGTTACAAACTATATACCTTATTTATCTTATTAAAATGTCAATAACAGTATATATTACAACAAAAGCATGAGTTAACAAATATAGAAATTAATTTCAATAATATTAAGAAAATAATAAAAACCTGTGTGGTTAGCGCTGGCGATGAGCAAAAGCCACTATCACTGGATTCACCAGGTTTCAAGCGTATTGCAGGCGAAATTAACTATAAATAAGATGAGTATGAAAAAAACAGAAACACACAACATAAAATAAACAAATAATGCGTCAAAATAACAAGTAATTAAAAATTATATAACATTTGACATATAAAGCATAAAACTTATGTGCTTAAAGAACTAAAGCGCAACACATTGACTTCAAGCAGAGCTGCACACAGAGTTCGCACTCGCAGCTTTTAAGCTTAAGCTTAGCTAGCCGACCAACACTCACCTGCGATAGCGAACGTGGATAGTGATGATGTCCCGGTGAGTTGCTTGAGCCGCTGCTGTTCATAGAGCTAATAGAACAAACGGAACTTTTGCGTGAGCCCAACGAATTCGAGCAACCACCTTGTGAGCTCGAACCGCCACCCGGCGATTCGGGATATAGCGACATTGTGGCTTTGGTGTCATGTATAAGTTCCTCGGATGCTTGTGGCAGCACGCTGGGCTCTTTCGTAACGAGGGCGATTGAATCCATTGCTTCCTAGAGTAAAAAAAAAAAAACATAATTCAGTTAATATCCAAGTAACACGTTTGTGCTTTGTCCGCTTACTCACCTGCAAATGCCCCAGCTCTGACATGACTTCACACTCTTCCTTCACGACTGGCTGTAACATATGTACAAACGTACAATATCGTAAACGCTCCTCGATCATAGCTGAACGTAAGGATTTCTTTTCGACCTCCTCCAATTCGGCGCGTCGCAATGTTACATCCTGCTTATGCGAGTCCATAAGCGACTGTATAGTATCCGATTGACCTTTACGTGCTTTCTTCTGCAGTCGTAACGTGTCGCTGGATCGCTTTTTCAGTTCGGTGCGACAGCGCTTATACTCTTTGGCATGTTCCTTGTCAATGGTGATCACTGTGCGCTTCCAGTCTTCTAGTTTTTCCTGCGTAGAAAGTGATATAATTAATTAATATACGCGATATTGAGAAAAGAGAGAGGGACATGGAGGGTGTTGGCACTTACTTGCAATGGCTGTACAAGGCAGTCCATTATTGCTGTTGTGAAAGTCTTCAGACGTGATTCGACTGCTTTGTGGCGTAGACAGACCCGCGTCAAAGCGGTGCCGATTTCTTTGGAAGCTCCTGCAAGTGCGAAAAAAAATGTATGTTTAAATGTTTCTATGAAAATCAGGCAGTGCTGTCTTTGCGTTTTTGAACTTTTTTTACACAAGCGGGGAGATGTTGTGGTATATGTGTATGTACCTCTTCTAGCAAGAAAAAATTACAACAGTGTAGTATATTCTCGTATACGACGACTGCAGGTTTTAGCCGAATCGGAGTCATAGTTTTGTTTTGATTGGGTATAGAAGCGAGAGTTTACGCGGCACGAAGAAAATCACACGTTAAGTTTCTACGCTTTTTTGTGACCATCGACGAATTATAGATCAAGTGGTCTACACCATATAAGAAGCCGTCGATTGTCTTAACGGCTAGAGAGGTTACGAATTTTTCTAAATTTTTCGTACTACTTTTGTGGGCTAAGTACATATCGTTCCGCCTACTTATTTTTAAGCAAATTACTCTTAGTATAAAAGTGGAAAATAAATCAACGAAAAGTTGAAAGAGCGCTATACGCATTACTATGTATCGACGTCGATGACAACTATGTAGAGCATAAAATTCGAATTATGTCAATTTTTATACACAGAACAGGGTATATGAATTTTGTCACGCTGTTTGTAACACTTAACACTCCTTTAGCTTGACAAATGGGTCGAGAGCGATAATGCTCAAAAATTCTACGAAAAGGTGCGGCGACTAACAGAAGTTTGAAGAACCCCTAGAGGTGATCTAGTGACTGATGGCGATAGAGGAGACGTCCGATGGTCCGACCATGAAGAAGTTCGAATAGCAATTACCCGTCTGAAGAAGAAGAAAGCGGCGCGGGCCGATGGATTGCCGGCTCAGCTATTCAAATGAGGTTTCGAAGAACTGATAATGACCATGCATTAGCTTCATTGTAGAATATGCTCGGACAAAAGCATGCGTGACAATTGGAATTTATGTGTGCTCTGCCCAATTCACAAGAAGGGAGATCCCAGAATCTGCGGCCACTACCGTGGGATAAATCTCCTCAACATCGCAAATAAGGTTTTATCGAGCATACTGTGTGAAAAATTGAAGCCACCGGCCTCAACACCCGCGCCGTAAGTTCAGCGAATTAAGAGACGGCGGCTACGCTGGCTAGGTTATGTCGTCCGAATGGAGGAAAACACTCCAGCTCGGAGAGTATTCAACGCTGTACCCGCGGGGGAAGCAGATGAAGAAGAAGACCTTCACTCACAGAAGGATCTGGCTACACATGGAATCCCAAATTGGCGTGAGACCGCGACAAGCTAGAACGATTGGCGCGCTGATGTAAACTCGACAATAAGTTAGGATAACGTGGTAGGTCAATAAGCGATGCATAAACCAGTTTTAGTGCTTTGGGATACCAGATGGAGTTCAGTTGCTAGGTCCATGAGCAGTAGTCATCCTTTAGGATGCCTGCGCTTGATGCGAATTTTAACAGACTATGCGGCCTCACTATCGATACATTCTTCTGTGCATCGTAAAGTGGGGACCCCAGATGCTTATGGCGTAGTCCTGCCAATGCGGGACAGGTGTACAAGAGACGCGCCATTATTTCTCTGGCGGCCTTCTTTAGACATTTCCTGCAGTCTTCTCGTTCTGTGAGCCTTATTCTACGTGCGTGTGTCGCCACCAGACAGTGTTCAGCTCGTATTCCCCATCATGTTCCTACAGTTTCTTCTATCGAGTGCCAATAGGAATTTAGTGCTCAGCTAAAACCGCGTAAGCGGTGTCGGTGTTGATTTCTGCAAGTTGCAAAAATAATATATGTTCGGTTACATCCAAACTTAGCTCTCCCATATTTGTTTAATTATATATCTGTTTACTATCTCAACTAAAAACGGTGACTTTGTCATGACATCAAAGTGACAAAAAACCTTATCCATTTATAAGGAACAGTTTTTCTAATGAATAAAAGTTGTTATTAATTGGTTGAACATTATTATACGAGGTGTGTTCAAAAAGTATCGCGAATTTTGTGTTTTTTTCAAAAATTATTTATTTATTCATGAATATCTATTTTGTCCAATCTTCGAAGCACTTCAAAAAATCATTTTTTTTTTTTTTWTYTTYTTYAGCTCCTCCTTCGATKCCGTCTTTATCTCGTCAAGAGAAGCGTAACGTCGTCCTTTCATGGGCCTCTTCAGTTTAGGGAACAAGAAAAAGTCACAGGGGGCCAGAWCTGGGGAATACGGGCTGCGGTATCGTTAGTGGGCTAGCAAATCTTCTCGGCCTTCTGAGAACATTTTGTACCACCGATAAACGTTGCATCGGTCCAAGGTAGCTTCTCCGTATGCCACAGTCAACATTCGGAATGCATCCGCGCACTTAATTTCGTTTTTCACACAAAATTTGATACAGGTTCTTTGATCCATTTCTTTAAATAGGTAAAAATCGTAGACGATCAAAAACACGTGCAAGCAAAGCAGTTATCAACAATTAAATGAATATTTAAGAAGGGTGAGCTTGTCGGCTTAAGTGAGAGACATGAGTACCAACATAACGCCACAAAAAATTCAAAATTCGCGATACTTTTTGAACACACCTCGTATATCAGTTTTATATATCCAAGAATATCAGAGAATCTTCAAGCGATGAATTTAAAACCCATATGAATTTTAATGTATGTATGTATATATGTATATGTATGTGTCTATAATGGTATGATATAAAAAAATGCTGCATTCACGCAGCGGAAGTGCCCAATCATGAAACTGAAGGCCGGAAGTAGAGCAGAGCAATTGATACATGACTGGTTGCACCTGGGGAAAATGCTGAGTAATAAAATATTGACATACTTTCCGTTAAATCCCTACTCTCACGATGTTGCAAGCAAAAGTTGATAAGCAAAGCACCACTCTGTACAACATTTATATGCAAATATCGTGTGTAACTGGATTAACCGGTTACAACTATGTGAAGTGGATGTATCTATTAAATTTGAAAGCTTGCTGGCCAAAGTGGAGGTATGAAAGATGATTGATAAATGTGAGGCTGAATAAGAATAAGAATACCACAAATATGTATGTACATATGTCGCCTTCTTTCACCGGTATATGTAATATGTATGCTTGTATCTAAAATATGAATATCTATGTATTTGATAGAGAGAAGGGAAACTCATAACAGCATTGCCAACACAGAAGAAAAATATGAAATTTTTCAAGTTCAAGCATTTTTCGTCGTTCTTCTACAACTTTGTTTCACTGCAGTTCTTAAACAAAATATTAAATTATGTTGCACAGTCACCAAAACCCACTTGCTGCTGAAAGAGTCTGCAGAACAATAACTACAAAAAGTTAAAGTATGGCTGCAGCGCCGCCACGCCACATTGTCTAGGCATTTTTGTACATATTTTGTTTGGTTGCAACATTAATGCTGCACATACGCGTGCACCTTGTGCATAAGTAAGCAATATTACGCCCAACTGTTCAGCAAAAAACAACAACAAAGAGCATACGAAATGAGTTAGACCAAAAAGGTGTGTGTTTTATTTTGCAACTAAGCTTAACGCAGTAAGCTGGCGCATGCCACATTCGGACAAAAACCGGTCTTTGTGCGCCGGCCGACATTGCGCCTGCCACTGCCACACCACGTCACAACAGTTGGCACTAGCAGCAACAACAACATTAGTAGATAATGTCTTTGTGATTATGTGTTGGTTGGCAGTTGTTGTTGGTATTTCATTTACCGTTGCAAGTGCCCCCATTTAACGATGACGATGACGGTGGTGAGGCCAACAGCATTGCACCGTTGCGCGCTTGCAACTAAATGGAGAAATAAAAATAAAATACGACAGACACTCGGTGCGGAACGATGGTGGCATGCATTTCTGGTGAGGTGTGGCACGGCTTGGGGTGCCAAGAGACTGCAGGCTAGCGCAACAGCGAATGCTGCTGGCTATTGGCGAGACCGACAGCGACTGTGACAGGGACGATTACACGCCAAACGCAACAATTGCGGCAGGAAATAGAAAAAAAAGGTGACAAGCGATGAACCGGCTGATGCAATTTACATACACATACACGTTTATAATACATATATTTAAAAAATTATCAAAAGAAGTATTCCAGTGGAAGTCGTTGTGGCGAAAGGAATAACAATTACTCCAAACGATAAATTAATTAACGAGTGTTGTACCTGTTTACTGTTTGAACTTCCTAAGCAAAAATAATTTCAAAAGATAATCTAAGCCTTACTTTGAAGAGAACTTCGGTGAAATCTAATTTTCAAAAGTTTTGAGAAAACCAAGTGCTGGATTATTGCTAGTCGAATCGTTGCACTCGGATTGGACTTGACTCGAACATATTGTTCAATTGGATTGGACTTGAGTTACTTTGAAAGATTTCCAAATCTTACTTTGAGCCGAACCGTGGTAAAAACTAACTAAACTTGTTAAAATCTCATGAGAAATTATAAACAATTATAATCAAATTCTGAACCGACGACGAACAATAACTCCAGAATTATCGAGTTCTTGCAATATTAGATTATTTTTTTTAACTATTTTGCATTACGTGGTTGCAAAAATAACAAATTCTGTGGTAAAAATTGGGAAGTGCCGATTATAGCTGATACATTACAGGGTTTGATTAATCCTTGGCAGACTTTTAACTGTAGAAACTTGGTTAGGTCCATACACATATACTCAATCAGTATACACTTGTTGTAGTTCTCTGAGCGAAACGATTATTCGACGATTATCGATTAACGATATATTGACGACTTTCAGTCTTTGACCTAGTAGCCAAAAAACGTCCATTTGAAGCCTAGCTAAAGTGAGAAGGCGAAACATTCCCTACCCAGCGCTGGGTTTGGAACGGGTCACGTGAAAAAAACTACCAATGAAAAAAAACCAGACTCAGATGACTGTCAGCTTTGAAATCCAACGCAGAATAACTCTTGCCAACAGGTGCTACTTCGGACTGAGTAGGCAATTGAGAAGTAAAGTGCTCTCTCGACGAACAAAGACCAAACAAGTTACGCATCATTTTCGTCCTGCTATATGGAGCAGAGGCATGGTCGATGACAACATCTGATGAGTAGGCGTTATGAATTTCCGAGAGAAAGATTTATGGTTATATTCGACGAAGTACCCGTCAGAAGTAGACCTCCACTCCGCTAGAAAGACCAGGTGGAGAAGGACTTGGCTCCACTTGGAATCTCCAATTGTCGCCAAACAGCGAAAAGCAAGAATGACTGGTGCAGTATTGTATAAACGGCTGTTACCGCGTAAGTGGTGTTTACGCCAAAAAATTTTAATCAACAGGCACATTACAAAATTTTTCCATGCCCGTGAGGCAAAGAAGTTCCCATAGTGTCGATAATATTGCTGCCGCAAGCGCATCAATCGTTGTGGCGAATTTTGCGAGAGGATCCTGGCTTACATCCTTACAAGATCAAATTGACGCAAGAACTGACTGATGATTGAAAATTATCCGGATTTTCGAAAAATCATCTTCAGCCATGTGGTTCATTTCTGGCTGAATGGCTTCGTCAATAAGCAAAATATGCGTCAGACAGCAATCCACACGTACTCCATGAGTCACTATTGCATTCCGAAAAACTAACTATTTCTTCCGTTATGATCAAGAATGGCACGTTATTGTGAATGGGAATCGCTACCGCTCAATGATAACCGAATATTTTTCGCCCGAATTGGCTGATATGGACTTGGACAATAAGTGGTTCCAACCAGACGACAGCACAAGCCACGAAGCGAATGTCACAATCGATTTATTGAAAATCAAGTTTGGTGAACGCGTCGTCTCCCAAAATGGCCCAGTCAATTGACTGCCTCGGTCGTACGATTTGTCGCTGTTAGATCATTTCCTGTGGAATTAAGTCAAATATATGGTTTATGGCAACAAGTTAGCAACAATTGATGCACTTCTTACGAGTATCGATAATATATCGGCCAATTTATGCTTGAAATCCATCGAAAATTGGGTACAGCATATGGACTTCTGCAAACGTGCCCGTGGTGGCCATGCAAGAAATCGAGTTCCAGACATAATGGCATCGAACATACTTTCACAGGAATAAAGAATTTCATTGATATCCCAAGCCTTTTATTAGAAAAACTTTTGTAGCGCCCTTCTTGAAAACCCCGTTACTTTATAGGATCTTCGTCCACCATGAATTTGTTCCTGCTGGATAAGAGATCGCAACAGATTGGAAGTTGCACCACGACAACGCTCCGGCTCACACCGCCTTTTTTGTGAACAGCTAGACCGGCATCCCAACGCTTCCACAGCCCCCTACAGCCCAGATATGACCCACCGGACTTTTTTTGTTTCCTTGCCTGAAAAGGCCGCTGAAAGGCAAGCATTTTGAGACGACAGAGGGGATCAAAGCAGCATGCCGTGACGTCTTCAATGCTTGGAAATCACGCTGGCAGCTGTGCATCGACGCGGAAGGAGCCTATTTTGAAAGTTTTTAAAAAATTGTACGATTGGTTCAATAAATATTTTGAAATCAACTCAGTCCTAATACTTTCCGGACAACCCCTGTATAATACATTGCTGATAAGCATGTTAGTTAGACTACTACGTACTTAGATTGCTTCCGAAAGCAACAGAAAAGCTTTCACAGGCAAACCGTAGGACAATTAACACTTTGACAAATAATATCGTAGCATCAACCAACTTGACCCACGTTCAAGTGCGTTTCCAACAGTTTAGATGGCAAATATCCACCCTTTGTGAAAAGGATATGAAATTACGTAAAAAGGGAGAATATTTTGCTTTTGAAAACCAAAACTTTACATAAGTTTATACATATGTATGTATATATTACGTACACTATTACATAGGAATGCGCAATGAAGAGAGTCGGTTTTATGATATTTTGAAATATTTGTTACATTTTCATAGCGCAGACGGGTGGTAAGTAATATCCGAAGGGTTCGCCACAAATTTGTTGACGAGTTGGCGATATTTAAGCTTTTAGTATTTTACGCTTAGTGATGACTGCCACGAAGGGTAGTTTTGTCGTCTTCTTGGACTTTATGTGAGAATTTAACATAATTAAGAGCACAAGGACAATTGTAATGCAAATGTAGCAGACTGGCAACCAGTAAGACCAGTTAAGGCTCGTTAGTGAAATTTAATTACATACAAAATACGCATTTACCCATTGGAGGGAATGCATAAAGTCTGCCGAAGGGGTCAACTCACGATTACACACACATTTCAAGGGCCAAATGAATGATTTGACTTGGAAGAAATGTTTAATATGGGCGACTTTCTTTGCCACAGCCAAAGGAAGTTAGAGGATTCCAATGTATGAAGAAAATATCTAAATAAACTGAAACAGTAAAACGACTATTACTATTAAAGACTATAACGCTTTCTTTCGGTTTTTAGTTATATCAGAAGCTTTCGACCGATTATTAAGTTCTAATGTACGTAATCGATATGGAATAGGAGAAATCGAGCAATGCATAGTAAGAATTGACGGTAAGATATAAGATTCACTGAACTTTCCCTCTTTCGGAAATGCATTTATTATTCGCACTATAAAGACTAAAAAAAGTTTGAGACGCCCACAAATGGATGACACACTTTTGCTCTTTTAGTTGGATCAAATATGTTCGGGCTGCTATAAGGAAAAGTTGTATATAATCGTCGAAACATTTGATGAAATTCAGATCGACGAAGTCTTATGAACACCTCTTCGATTATACTATAAACACACCTTATAATAACGGTCGATATTTGGTTCTGATTCAAAAAACATTATATCCTCTTAATTCTTTGGGTATTCTGGTTCTAATGTAATAAGTTTCCAGTATCTATTTTGAATGTATGGGTGATGTATTTCGAAACTTCGAAAACTTCAAATCTAATGTGTGTATTATCATTCGAAAGATCATTATTTGGCATATATTTTCTGAAGGTTATCTCTTTTAAATGTTTTACGTCTCAGATAGTCCAAAAAGTCTGACGGTGTGATATCACACGATGTGTGGAAAGTGGCGCCGTCTTGTTGAAACCAAATGTTGGTGAGGTCACGAGCTTCAATTTCAAGCATCAACTAGCCGGTTATCATGGCGCAATAACGGTTACGTTCTCACCGGCATCATTTTTGAATAAATATGGGCCGATGATCACATTAAGAAGGTTGAGCGGGTTCAATTCTTGCACAAGCTGTATTTTGTATGCATTCAATTTAAGATCTCGATGTAAATTGCGAAGCGTGAAAAAACGCAATGTTATGGCGTCAGTAGTTTGGGATGTGCATGATATAATTTTTATGGACTATCCTGGGCTTCGATTTTCAAAAAATGATAGAATGTATTTACGGAGACTTTTCAATCGCCCTGTTTTAATATACCCAATTCAAACACTTTGCACATTGACATAAACCAAGCTCTGCAACCTTTGGGCAGCATATTGTGCCCGGGTGTAAAAAAAACCGCATCTACGATGTTGACAATGAATCCAGTATCGGGATAATAGTTTCTTGGAACTACGAGATTTCTTCACATTACATTTCAACAGCTTGCCGCTAAGAAAATAAATACCACTATGTTGAATGCAGCAAATAAACGCTACAAATAAGTGACAGTGAGTGGTAAGAGCGTGGTCAAGAGGCAAGCGGCGTGCAGCGCGGCGAGTGGTCAATAGCTTAGCGGTGTTTATTTATTTGCGATTCTGGCAATAAACAGCATGATGCCGCAACATGTATCGCGGTTGGACACGCTATGCAACATTGTTGCATAATAGAAAGCAACATGTGTGAGCAAGCACATGTGTGTGAGTGTTGGAAGCTTTCATGCACGAGAAGTAGCACACAACTTTCGTGCTATTTGCCGCTAATTTCTTATACAACAATTTTACACTTGCCTCTGCTTATGTATATGTGTGTGTGGTTGGTTTTTGTGTTGATTTTTATGTGCGTTGGGGATTTGAACTTACCTCTTGAATTTGTTGCTGCGTCTGCGATTTTTTGGAACGCGTCCAAATACGCGGCGATTGCCTGAATGGCGGCACTGCAAATAAATCGAGATAAAAAACATTAAATTTAATTTGAAAATATACATACATACGTACAGAATTATAATATAACAGTATATATGATAACACATATAATACAACGAAAATTCCTGTGCTATGAGAGTTCTCAAATCTTTTGGCTGTTACTTTTTTTATGCGAACATTTCGTTTTCATCATAATTTGTTGTGTGAAATTGTTTTGTGGTGACGATGATTTTACACAGAAACGATTTGCGCTTTGTTGTTGGCCGTCAAAGCATTTTGAATGTAGCAAAAATATAATCAAATAAAATTTTAAAAAATTGGCACAAGTTTAAATAAAGCTTTTATCTGCTGGGCGTGGTTTATTACAATTTGAGGCGATGTATTCATGAGAAAAAATTGATTTGAAAAAATTAAATTTTTCATCAAATGTTTAGCCTCTTTTGTTTCGATAAAAATTAATATTTTAACTTTAAAAGAAAAGCAATAAAAAACCCCTTCACAGATAAATAAGTTTCCATTCAAGAACTTAATTTTGATGGTTGCGTTTGTATGACAGCTGTATGATATTGTGGTATATCTTAGAAGAATGTACCGTTACTGCGGTCAATAGTCTATCCAAATTTCATGCAGATATCTCGTTAAGAAAAATAGTTTCCCTATAAAGGCTTGATTTTGATCGTTCAGTCTGTATGACAGCTATATGCTATAGTGTTCCAATCTCAACAATTTCTTAGAATATTGTACCGTTACTTCGGTCTATAATATGTACCAAGTTTCGTGCAGATATCTCGTCACAAAAGTCTTCCTTACAAGGACTTTATTTTGATCGGTCAACCCGATATTGGTGGTTCCGACAAATAAGCAGCTTCTTGGGGAGAAACGGAAGTGTGCAAAATTTTAGAGCGTTACTCAAAACCTGATGGACTAATCCGCATATATACAAGGTGCGTTCCTAAGTAAACAGGACTTTTTGAATCTAGCGCCCCTTGATGGGCTATCTATATTTCGACTGGTGCTTTTGAATCTGCTTTTCATTAATTTCATTAATTGGAAGTGAAGTTATTGCGTTTTAAGTGTCGGTATGTTTGTGTTATGGATGCGAAAATGAGCTTCGAACAAAGAGCCAACATTAAATTTTGTTTTAAAATTGGTAAAACTTTTACCGAAACGTTTCAATTGATGAAACAAGTTTATGGCCATGATTGCCCATCCCGTAGCAAAGTACACGATTGGTTTCAACGTTTTTAAAGTGGTCGTGAGGACACAAATGACGATCCACATGTGATCGCCAATCAAAATTCGTCATCGCTGGAAATTGCATCGAAACTGCGGGTGAATTCATCTAAAATGAGATGAAATCAGCATTGAAGTTCATGGAAATGGAATTGAACATCTCCAAAACATGGATTTATTGCACTTGGACCGAACATTTGGGCTTACGAAAGGTATGTGCACGGTTTGTTCTGCACAAATTGACTGACGACCTAAAATTGCACAGAATTCAAGATTCGAAAGACATCATTAAAGATGATTATTTGACCAAAAATCAAATTTTAGCCATTAATCACGCCCCGTATTCACCTGATATGGCATAGCGCGACTTCTTCCCTTTCGGAAAAACGAATTTGCCCGTGAAAGGAATGCGTTATCTAGACGTAGAGGCCATTCAAATGGCTTGCGCCAGCATACTGGCAGCCATACCGGCCACGAGCTAAAACACACGTTCGACATACTTTTGGACTATGCAAAATGCTGTATTGAAGCAGAAGGAGACTATTTTGAATAAAATAAATTGATTTTGCCGAAAAAACCATTTGTTCTGTGTTTTGTTTTTAAGTCCTGTTTACTTTGGAAAGCACCTTGTACAAACAGACGGACGGAAGGACGACGGGCAGGACTAATCAACTCAGCTCGTCATATTTTATACTGTCTCTGACGTTTCATTATGTAGCACACTTAATATACACAGTTCAGCGTATAAAAATAAAAAAAAAAGAGATTAAACTCATATGTTGTCCACAACACAGCTAATAAGAAAAAACGAAATAAATACTCAATACTAATTATTGTAACAAAATTAGACAAGCATTAGTAGAATAATAGACGAAAATACGAAGGCAGATCGATAAGTACGTAGTCTACATAAGACAAAAGGAAAATTTTGGGTGTAAATTGGAATTTATATCACCATATAAATATCCTTAACTCGAACTGGTCAATTCTAAGCGGTACTCCAAACTTCAACTTCTTTAAATCGTCTAAAATAATTGTTGAAAATACGTAAACAAAAGCAGCTTTGAAATCGACGAGGAGGTGGTATGTGTCGATCTTCTTTTCACGGTCCCGTCGCTTCGTTGTTCTTCAGACCAGTAATTGATATTCGAACTACTTTATGGTCGAGCAGTGGCACGTCTGCTCCATCAATTAGAGATTCGGATTCACCATTTTCTGGTGTTATGCTATTACTGCCATTCAGCAGGCTGGAGAAGAGTTCTCCATATATAACTTCAGTATGCTCTCGACATTAGTCACTAGGGGGTTCTACATGAGCTTTGCAGTAGTAGTTATTGAAAGGGGGTCTCTCATCCGAGGCTGTTTTGATCATTTCATTGGGTATGTTTTTTATGTGTGGTCCTAGCGCACAATCCAGGGGAAGCACTTTGGTTCGCCTTCAAACGGATGCTTTTTGTCTACCTAAACGACACTTGGCCTGAGATCGGAAGTCGTTAGCTGTTTGAGCCATACATATGTGAAAGCATCGTTTCTGGCCACTTCCAAGTGAATGGCGGTCAGAGAACTGTCCTCATTTGCGTGAACTTCTACACATGGCTCTATCTTCCTCGTGAAAGCACAAGGGGTATAAATATAAATAAACGAAGCAAAATTTTTAACACGAAATAAAACGATCCTTTTCCCAACGAAATGGCAATTACCCGACACTACAGCACTTAAAAGTGATCTTAATTGATTATATTTTGGATATTAAATTTTAACGTTAAATTCTTCACAAAACATTAATCATTTTGTGTTAGCCATGAAAGTTGTATTGCGGCGCTAGTGCTTCTGAATGTGTTCCACTTCGGTTTCCTTCCTTATTGGCTTCTTAACACAGGTATTTTAAAATGAGTTGCATAATACTCCGACATAAATTGATTTTGCTGTATTCAGCGAGAGGTAAGGACTTCTCATAAGTTAAAATACGTACACATATACCGAAAGTGGGTTATAATCTAAACAATTTAGGTCAAATGAGAATTACACTTTTCCACTTCAGCCATAAATTACTACTTCGACGTTCCGAGTTCATTTACTACGCTCAAAAAGCAAATACATACATATTTAATATATACATGTGAATTTGTACACTTGGCAGATTTATAGTAGGAGATATTTGCATTAATGCTGCCATTCAATATTGAATCTTTTGTTTGTTTATAATCTAAACATTCAAACTGATTATCCACAGTATAAACAATTTCAGCGAAACGCAAAAGATTTGAGAGAGAGAGAGGCTGAGAGATAGGACAGCAATGTGGAGTAGTGGACAGACACTTACCGTAAACATTGATGCAATTTCGTAGCTTTGGTAACAAAGTCTTCCCACAGTGGCGATGTGTTCTGGAAATAAGAGAGCGAAAAATTTATGAAACGACATTAATAAAAAGATTTTATGGCAAAAATTTTTAATAAAAATTACTAGTTCGCGTATAAAATATTATCTTAGATCACTGAAATAAGAAAAACTTCGAGGACTACGAATGCAATGGCCGGTAATAACGAAGAATTAACATCGTAAGCCTGTTAAAGTCAGTGTTGTTTAACTGTTGTCTCCCTCACGTGAAGAATTCTGGATTTATATCCGGTCCAAATGTGTTCTTGAAATACAATCTCTAAAACCTTACTACCCGAATAGTTAATTTTTTAAGAACCTAAGGAAATCTATTGTGAGCCATCTCTTCATATCGTTAACGTTAATCTCATCAACATCGAAAATATGTAAAATAATCTACAAGAGGATATGGCAGAGCTCAGGCTACTGCCGGATAGAAAGTGGACGGCTTATGCCACTAGGTAGGTTAGCTGCGAATAGTAATATGCACTCCCTCGAGTATAACGCCTAAGAATTGAACAGATAGATGCCGTCTTTAAATAAGCATCAAAAGCCAGGCTTGCACCAAGGAGAGTCAACAATGCGTCGATCAATTCACGTMGCCATATTTTTTGACCGTACAAGTTCAGTTGAGACGATCTCTCGTTCGTGCCCGAACTTGGCTCTGAATATAATCTTAATAATCCTTAATCTATAAGGAGTTGTATTAACCCCCGCATAGCCTCCTTGCTTGTATAAATAACCACAGGGCAACTGTTACACAACATGCGAAAATAGTGGATTGAATCAGAGGACCCATCAGAAAAAAAGGAATACACTGCAACAACAAAGAAATAAAGATAACCAAGATGAGGAATACGGGATCGTCTTCCGTATTAGTAGTAGGATACACAAGCAACATCAGCAAAACAAAGAGAAGATAAGAGCACACCAGCTGCTATTACAGAAGGATCTCCGGTTACGCAAAACTCACTGAAGTAAGAGAATATTACCCAAATGAGATGGGAAGACGAGCAATCCTTAGAAAAGTGCAAGAGTATCGAGGAAATAGTTAAAATGGCGATGACAAAACAAAATGTCAGTATGAATGTTAAGAACGGAACGGTTTAGCTGGACGAACTCTTTGACGTAATCAAGTAGAAACTAACTTGTCGAAACAGTGCGACCACGATACGAAAACAATGGCCAACGGCAAAAGTTTTGACTAAACGGAAAAAGAAACCCCAAGCAAATGGAGGAACGGTGGTGGAAGCAGCTTAAAACACAGAAAAGATACAACAAGAAAATAATATACTTGCAAGTCAGCACCAGGCAATTGTAACGCTGAAGTCCTTAAGAATACCCGTAGCAAGGTAAATCTTAAAGAAGCACAGGTCCTTAAAAATATGTGACGCAAGTTAAATCTTAAAGAAACAGAGGTTAAGATTAAAGGGATACGCAAAACAAGAGCCGGGCGTTAGAAATAGAGCTGGAGAAAGGGCAGACTGCAGAGGAAAACTTCTGTGGCCGACATTAAACCAAAGGCTGAGTTTAAAGACGACTCACAACAAAAGAGGAAAAGACTACTGGACCCAATCGAAGACTTGGCAATAAACATGACAGCACTTAACGATAGAGAGAAGATGAGCCGATTGAATTAAGTTTGAGTTTGAGTTTTCTAAAATCGACGCAGGAAACGCCTTTTTTCCGAAAACCGAAAGTGACGACATTTTCCGTTGTTATTATTGTTGTAGCGGCAAAAAAACTTCCTGAGATAATATCGAGGCATGGTGCCGGGTTGATAGTCCTGGGCCGAATAAAAATCCGGCCGTTATGAATACTTAGATCCGACTGTCGTGAGAACGGGATCAATCATTTTCCGGCTTTTGTAACGGGTTTGTCGCTCATAGGTATATATACACATATATCAAGATAACCATAATAACGGAATTAATAAATTAAATTTCATATTAAATTTAATAAAATTTTAGTCACGACACCAACGCTCACCTACTACTAATTAAATTATGAGCTTTTACGAAAAGTATTTCGCGCAAAATTTTTCACAAATTAAATTCGCAGACAACAGTTACGTGTGAACGACGAAGGGCCCTCAGCAGCGGAGGTGGATAATTGAGCGCAAAAGCAAATTTGCTGACAACAAAGGAGTAACTTTTTGGACAGCGTGAGTGCAAGAGGGCAACAACAACAACAGCAACGACAAACTACGTTATATGATAAATACAAATACAAAAATAAAAAAGTGAAAATTTACATAAATTGTTGTTTTTGTAAAGAGTAACAATGATTTACGCGCTGCTGGAATGTGAACTAAAATAAAAGAATGGCGATATGGCGCACTGGAGCAACTTTCCGGTAGCTAAGTGATGGAAATTTATTGCTGCGGAAACCCGCTGGGCGAAATTCAATGCGCAAGCGGGCGCGTGGAAATGCGAAAGAGGTGTGGGGTAATGTATAGTGTATTGTTGAGTGAAATGTAACATTCTCACGGGTTGTTTGACGGGGTCAATTTCATATATTAATTGCAGTAAAAATAAATAAAAATGAAAACAAAAGAAATTTTCGGAAATAAAATAAAGTGCTGCTCTTGTTTTGAATATTTCGGGCATTGTAAGCATTTCCATCCAACCCGTTTAATAAGTATTTGAGTTTATGAGTTGATACTCAAGCCTAAATTGCGCAAACTTTTGCGCATTACGGTAAATATGTAAGCCGCCCCCTGTATACATGTGTAAATTTTTATCTTATCAGCATATGCGCCTAAAAGCGTGCTATAAAAGTTAACATGCGCACATTTTCGTGAAACCATGTGACGGCTTATCTGAAAAGAACAATGGGGTTTCGAGTGGTTTTGAGTTGCCGAGAAATTGAGCAGTTTTCATAAAGATTCGCACATTATTACGACTCTTATCAGTCATTATGATGTAACACGGCAGCTTGAAATAATTTTATCTTCCAAATGAGCAAACCTTTTGGCAACACATTTCGTATATTGATATGAGTGGCTCTTTTCATCCGTCAAAATGCGCCTGTTTTGAAAGCACTACCAAGGTAAAAGACAAAAAGGGGGTTAGTTATTATACAGACTGCGTAAAATATCAGATTAACTGAAAAATCTCCGGCCTGACACATAGATGGCGCTACTATGTAGCATTAAACACATATGACTTTTGGTGAGACCTATGCATTTTTAAAAAAGTAAAAAACGAATTTCTAGTGTTGATAAAATATTACTTTTCGAAGGGAAAAAAAAACAGTCGAAGCAAAAACTTGTCTTGATGGTAAGCTTCCGGACACAACCCCAGGAGAATCAACCATCAAGGCTTAGTTAGTTAGCTAAGTTTAGACGTGGTGAAAAAGCACCGAAGATGGCGAACGAAGTGGACTTCCAAAAGATGTTGTTACTGACGAAAACATGAAAAAAGTCCGCATAATAATTTGGGATGACCGTAAAGAGAAGTTATTCAAGATAGCAGGGACTGTTAAGATATCAACTGTTTGGATATGAAAAAACTGTTGGTCCCACACAAGCTCACTTTTGACCAAAAGCAACGACGAGTGGATGATTCGAAGTAGTATTTGGTGATGTGCGGACGTAATAAACCCGGGTTTTTGTATCGATATATGACAATGTTGTAGAACCTGAATATCATCTTTCACATTTCCTCGCTACATTCATCAATAACAAATTCATTTATATTAATAAAATATAATATCATCACGGATTCATAATAAATCTTAATAATAAATACATACACATACATATGTATTTAATTGTGATAACAACTGTCAATCAACATGCTGCTCTTTTAATTCTCACCGACCGTTGGCTATGATTGAATTGAGCTCAATGAGCAACTAATTAAGCGCGAAAGGCAAAAATCAATGCAGAAGAAATTGCATTCCCCATTTCTCTTCTTCTTCTTACAAGCAATCAACACAGCGGCGAACGGACAAGCACCGGTGAAGTAATTAAAAAGGTGGCAAGCAAAAACAAATGTGAAATGTTATCAACACAAATGTGTGTGTGTGTGTGTGTGTGTGTGTGTGAGTGAGGAGGCACAAGATGGTATTATCACGGGTCAGACGACAAGCAAATGACAGCTATCACAACTTTATTGCACATTAACGACTGACACTGTCAGTGCTGGTGCTGCCAGCGTTGCTCGTTTTGATTGGAAAATGTGAATAAATATACAAGCGCGTATATATCATTATTTATATTTATACTCTCGCATACAAACGCCGGTTGAAAATTATATGCATTTAAAAATAAAATTTAATTAAAAACACCGCTGTGTGATTACAAACTCGTACATACACACCCGCTCAAAATAATAGTTACACAATGCTTTTTCAAGTAAAGCTCATGAATAAAAACTTGTATTTAAATTTTTAAGAAAAACGCAAACGTACTTATATTTTTCAAATATTTACAAGCTTATTTAAATAAATTTCATTTAAAAAAAAAAGCAAAACAAACAAATGTAGATCCAAAAACATTTCATAGCTAAAATAAACTTGCTCAAAAAAATAGGTACACTTTTAATAAGACAATAATTTTGGAAAAACAAATTATGATAAAACAGTTTTGTTGTACTTATATTTAACATTACTCAGTTAATAACCAGTATATCCACCATTATTCTGGATTTCTTTATATATTCGTTTGGGCATACTACTGATTAGACTCTGACAGGTTTCTTTCAGTATCTCATAACAAGTTTTTTGTATGCACTCCCATAACTGGTCTTTGTTAGAGAAAGATTGACTCGCCAAGTTTGTTTTTAGTTTTCCCCATAGGTTTTCTATTGGATTTAAATCCGGAGATTGGCTTGGCCACTTCAAAACGTTAACATTATTATCTTCAAAATATTTTTTAACCAGTTTGCAGGTATGTTTTGGGTCATTATCTTGCTGATATACCCAACGTAATGGTAAGTTTTCTTCAGCATAGGGTATCATGACATTTTCAAGTATTTCCTTGTACTCCGACGCTGTCATTTTG